TTATTTTCAAATCCCCTCCTTTCCACTTGCTGGGCATGACCTGCCACTGCCAAGGCGAGGCTGCAGCAGCCCTGACTCCAGTATTTGCATTGGCCTTTTAGTGTCTCATTGACACACAAATGTAATAAAACCAAAGGAGAGCAGAGCCGGCCCTGCAGACTGCATCCCTCCACGCAAGTTGTCACTGGTTTCTGAAGCGTGCGGGAGCACATGCTGCTCACAACGGCAGAGCAAGACGTTCAGATCTCTTTTTAATAAAAATTGTATATTGCTCTTGAGATTTATGTTGTCATCAGGCATTCCCAGTAGGATTGTATTCTTGTATCATGCGCTTGCAGTGGGGCCAAAGGTGTCCAATTTATTACACGCATAATGAAGCGATAGTATTCTCTCTCTCATGATGCAGTAATCTGATTCCTGAGCAAATCCAGCCTTGTGGTTTATTGCAACAAGGGAATCAGATTATTCCCTTGTAAAAGCAGAGAGGCAGTGATACGGCTACTGTAATACCTGCTTAATGAATACAAAATTAATACCAGCTTCTTTCCCAACGTCTGCAGTGCACTCTAGGAATTTTCAGGAAGCTGAAGCTCATGCACCAGTCACTTAATTGGATCTATAAGATCATTTATTAATTGGGTCATTTATAGTGTCCTGGAGTGAAGTAGGGTTGTTGGAGTGAAGTAGGTGCTTTCTTTTAAGTAGCCATGTTTAGTCTTGGTATAAAATGCCATCTATCCTAACTCAAATGAATGGGAGGATAGGTATGGAGGCAGTAATGCCACTTAAGGCATCCTTGATTATTAAAATGGTTGTTTGGGTCATCACAGGCTTATTTTGTGTTCAAGGTCCTGATCTTGAATTTTGATATCAAGATACAATCTCTACTTGATATCCTCACACCTGCTTTATGTAAAGTTAGGTAGATATCATTCCAAATATTTGGGGGTGCACCAATAAAGATATTTTGGGCCAATACCGATGGCCGATTATTAACAAACCACATCAGCCAATACTGATCCAATTACCGATATGCAGCCCGGCAGCTTGGAGAGCAGCATCTGGCTAGTAAGACAGTTGCGGGGGGGGACAGGAAGAGTGTGGTGAGCAGATTGAGGCCTCAAGGTGAGGGAGATGGGGAGCTGGGGCAGCCACTACTCAGCCAGGGTAGGGCACAAGACAGAGCCATGAGTGACTCATCAAGGGGGCATGGGGAGGGGGAGTGGCTCCCGCCACTGCATGCACCCCCAGGGGAAGCGTGGGGGGTGTGTGCCTCCTGGATTTATGTGCAGGGCAAGGGCAGGCTGCCTCTGTGCACTCAGGGCCAGGGACTGCACTGGGCTTTTCCTGGCAGGGGGTAGGGCTGGACCAGGGCTGTGCTTGAGGGGTGCTTGAGGTACACTGTGGCCCCTTGCCTCCCAGCGCTGTTGCCACCCAGCCCACGCTCAGCTCCAGGCCAGCCCTTGCCAGGAAGACCCTGACATAGCCCCACGTGCACTGTGGCAGCCTGCTCTCGCCCCAGGCACAGATTCCAGGGGCACACCCCCCCGTATGCTTCCTCTGGGGGTGCACGCAGTGGCGGGAGCCCCCCCATTTCTCCCAGACAAGCTGCTTGCACCCCGCCTCAGCTGGGCAGCACCTGAATCAGCCCCAGCTCCCCTCCTCCCTATTGCAGAGGCTTCAGTCTCCTCCCCCCCACACCTCTTCCCTCCTTCTTCCCCCCAACAAACTTATCAGCTAGATGCTGCTCTCCAAGCTGCGCTCCTTGATCTGCCCTCCAAGCTCTCCAGGCTGCACACATGCACACAGCATTTATTGGCGACATTATTGGCCATATCAGCCAAAAAAAGACAATTGCTGATAATGTCAAAGTTGTAAGGAGAACTTCCCATTTAAAAAGCCTTTGAGCTCCTTACCATAGCTCTTGATTTAATTTTTTTAACTAATTTCATTTAGGAGGAAATTATATTTTTGGTCTTTATTGCTCTCCACTGAGCAGATTTTGACCAACTGAGTCAACTGAAAGACTCCCATTGATTTCACTGGGAATTAGATCTGGTTCCATGCCTGGGCAAATCGGCCATTGCTATAAATAACAGATCTGAAGGAAGAGAACACAACACCCGAGGTTGATCTGCCATGCACATGTTCCAAAGGAATTCCACCCTTAGGACCGAACTGTTACCTACTGTTCAGCATCGGGCTAGGATTCTGGACTCCTACTGGATCTTATCTCTTAAATCTGATTCACTGATAATCTCGACAGGTCACATACTATCTTCCCTGTGATTTATTAATTTTTCTGCTGTATGTGCGGGCCGGCTCCCGGTCCCGCCCTCGCCGGGTGCGAGCCGGGCCCGTCTGTGTGCATGCGGGCTGTGGCCGGCAGCCCGGGCACGCGGGGCCGGAGAAAAGTCCCGGGGTGGAGTAGTACGCTCGAGCTAGAATCAGTCACGGAGGCGTAATGGTTGATTGAAAAGATTATTTACTTACACCCCAGGTGGTCGTGGTGTAGGCTGGTCAGCTTTCCAGGCTCAGCTCCGCTTGAGTTCTCGGTGGAGGACTCTAATAAACTCGGTTCCTTGACCCCGGAGTGAATCAGGCTCCGCTTCTAGGGTAGGGATTCGTCTGGACTGCGATTGGTGACGGGGAGAGGCTAGAGGCCGTCGGTGAGTGGTGCCCCGGAGTTTGCTAGGCTCCGGGGGTTCGGCAATTGGAGCCTCTATCGCCTTCTTAAGAAAGACGCGCTGGGTTCGAAAGGACCCGCAGCACTTAGAGATCCGTCTCTCCCTCCATCTCTCTCTCTCCGTCTTTCTCTCCAACTTGGGCGGAAACCACCCAAGCCTTTTGTACGGCTAGCAAGCCAATAGCTAGCCGCCACGTGTGCCTAAATTAAGACCGGCCAATAATGTGGCTCAAATCTCAATACAACTGGCGGGAACTCCTTTGCAGCGTGCATCACTGTAATGCAAGAGTAATGCACAATGCAAAGAAGGCTACAGAATGGCTGGAAACACTTCTGCACGCGGGTTCTCTATAACAACAGAACACCCCGTCGTGCAAAAGAGCTGCAATTCGGCGGGAACATAATTTAGCGGTGCGGAAGCGCACACAATCAAAAAACCCACAACTTTGGGTTGTGACACTGTAAAAAGGAGCTACCTGATAGAGCTGTAAATGTTTATTAACAGCTTCAGATGAAAAGTACCATTGCCCATGAGTGGACAGAATAATTAATTTCATGCAAGCAGTACCATTTTATTTACACCATGCAAAATTGCTGGTTTAGGACAAACAGCCTTTCTTCAAGAGCAACTTGGCAATGCTGACCTTGACTCTCCAGGATAAGTGAGTCAGAAGTTCTAACTCATTTTAAAAAATTAAATTCCATCTTAAATTCATTCATCACACGCTGTTTTTCACATTTTGAAACAAAATGAAAAAGCATTTAGAAAGTAATATTTATGTGACTCTATTCAGAAAAATAGCGACAAAATCTTTATTGGAATGTGAAGGGGTGTTTTCTTTTGTTTGTTTTTTTCTTTGTAGAGTATGAAGCAGAGCAGCCTGCTTTTCCAGGTCTTTCTGAAGCAAAACGAGACTCTGTGAGTATGACTTGAGAGAGAAATCCATCCAGGGAACACTTTAAAGGTTTATTGATTTTCAGTGGTAAAGAAAAAGCATTTGTAAAGTATCCCTGAATTAATTACATGAATATGAAACAATATTCTGCAAAAAACTGTTGTTAATCATCAAACCTAATATTCCACAGATTGCTGCATTTCTTTAATGAGACTCTAGTAAGGTTGCTAGGCCTCAAATTAGCTTACCAGCTGTGTTTTGGTTGTCATGTTGTGCTGTCCCTTTGCTCTGTATGTCTGTTTCATTCGTATGAATTGGCAGGATACTGAAATATGCAAGCGTTTTATTTACTAAACTCTTCCCATCAGGCAATGGCCTGTGATATACAAGAAAGAAGCAGGCAGGCAGAGTAAAGGAACAATGCCCTGTTTACACATATGTGCTGAAATTGCCTCTCCCAGCATCCTGCTCTTGCAAAGATATTAGTGTGGACCTTTGGGACACCACCTGATGGTGAGTTTAGAATATCCTGCACTGGGAGTGGACACCCTCATGGTGGGGAGTCCATTGATTCTAGTGCTCTGTTCATTTAAAAAACTTTGGATCAGATCCAGAACTAATTTAAGAGAGTGCAACTCTGCAGAAGTCAGTGGTGCAACACGTGGATAAGCTGGTTTCAAGCCAAACATTGTAAGATTTTGTTGTTGACTTTGGCAGTGGTTATAATTAAAAAAAAACAAAAAACTTGTGTCTCCGAATGAATAATGAGATAAATTAAGACAGACCTCTGATAAAAAGCCCACTGCATGCAAGGTACCAAAGTAGGTGCATAAAATTAACTTAAAACTGAGGTTTGATCAGCCTAAATTAAATGCTTTTTAAATTCAAATGAAGCATTTTGGAATTGTCTTAATCTACTATGCATCAGTTAGCCTAGTTTGTTTCTTTACAGGAACTAGCATTTTACAGGGTAATTTTTTAATAGCTTCTCTATGCTAACCTGGATAGCACATTTGTTGCCCTAAGGGAAAATGAAACCATTATTTTCTGTTAATTTTATGTAAATAGAATGGAAAACTGATGATGGTGCTGTTAGTTGGGGCATAATATATCAATCCATTTCAGTTTCCCTGAACTTGTACTTATGAACATAGTGGAATGACATTCATTTATATGTTAATGAAGCTCTGCTAATTTCTCAATTAGAACCTTGCATGAATTAACAAAAAGGTCTATGCTTGTTTTAGCAACATGCAGCATATCATGTGTATTGGGAATCTGGTCCTACTATTCAGTAAATGAGAAGCATGCTCAGAAAACCCAACAAAATTTGGATATACAGTTGGTTGTTCAGTAGAACAAATGTAAATAGCAAATTGTAATGGTAATGCAGTTTAGATAGCAGCGCGGGGGCAAAATTAGACCCCTGGATATCCAGGGGTCAAAAAAGACCATGGGGGGAAAAAGCAGGGTAGGGACCGTGCCCTGAGGCAACTGGTGGCTTGGTCTTCCACAGTAGACGCTCTGGTAGCCAGCCAGAGCATCTCTATGGCTGGCCCTCACCCTGGTGCTGAAGCACACTGCCTGCCCATGCAGGGCAGACAGCATGCCAGCTGCAGGGAGCTGAACGTGGGCTCCATGCCAGTAAGTGTGGGGGAGGGAGGGGGCTGGAGGAGGGGGGAGGGAACCAT